CATGTCTTTCCTCCCTCTAGAGTCCGAGGATGAAGATGTACGCTGACGCAGAGCAGAAGAAGCAGAGCCAGAGGTCAAGCACAGATCTGCGCAGCCGACTCTCAGGTGGAAAGTTCCGCGGGGGTGTTAGCATCCAGGACAGACTGCTGGATGTACGCAGCCCAGCTAGGGGTGGGGATGCCAGGAATAAGTTAGATCTACGTGCAAAGCTCACGAGCAAGCGGAGACGAGAGCCTGTTTCTGTAGAAGTGGACAATGACCGTTACTACCGCTTGATTGCCAGTGACGAAGATTAAGAGACGTAGGCACTTATTTTCACAAATGTAGTGAAAGTAAAAACAAAAAAGAAAAAAAAAGATTAATGTGTATTGTAATTTTTTTTTCTTTTTTTTTTTTTAGGATGGGGGAAGGTGGCAAATCTCTAGGAGGAGGAATTTTTTTTTTCTTTATATCTCAACTACTTGCTCATTTTTTATATTTATTTAAGGTTTCTGTAAATAGTGACAGGGCTAGTCATCCTCTTTGGTGGCTGCCTTAGCTCATTGAAAATCATTCTGGGAATTCACTTCATTGTACGCACCCAAGTACAGTCTATACAATCACATTATTGCGAGTTGAGACATTAATGAGGAGTACATAGAGTTGAAAAGGGTACTGTTGTTCATTAAAGTCTTAGTTGTCCTTTGAGGTAAAAGGTGTCAAATGTCATTGGCCAGTGGAAATGTATCGTACGTTCTAATTACTTACTGGAATAATTTGATCTTGCGTTGTAAAGATTTAAGTATGTAAAAGGGAAGAAAAAAATTGATAGATAAAAATTTATTTTTAATAAGCATTATCGTGTGTAATTTTCGACGAACTTGTTGCTGGTACGTTTTATCAGAGCAAGTACAAAGGAGTAGTGTATATATCTAGGCCACTTGTATGCGGATTTCCTTCCTGTATTATAAGGTTTCCCCTGTGAGAGATGAGATGTATTTATTAAATTAGTCCTTTGACGTTTTTGACATGCCATAAAAGAAAATAAAAAGAAGAAAAAAAGGGAGCATTGTAAAAAAGACTCTTTTGTATCAAGAGATGATAATGTATAGGTATCAGAGTTGAATGAAATATATATTAAATGCTAAGTGTTCTTTGTGAAAAGTGAAAAAGTGTTGATGTAAATATGTTTACCATGCTCAGTCTTTCTTATTGTACATTTGTGAATGTGCTTTTTCTGTAAAAAAAAAGAAAAAAAAAGAATAATTGAAGGAACATAAGAAATAACTTTCGATGAATAAATTTTACACAGTAGTTTTTAAGATTAGCCTTTCCAAGTTTTTATATCCTCATTATTTTTGGTTGTGATGGATTTTTTTTTTTTTTTTTGTAAATGTAAGGATTTTTTCTCATTATTCAGAACAATATGAACAGTAATCTTTCTGTGATCCTGTCTTGAAGCTACATAATCTTGATTTATTTTATTATGTTCTAGATTAAAGTAACGTGACAACAAGGAATAAATATATAGCGATAATATGAAAAGTTGAAAAGAAAAAAAGTTTGTCTTTCATTTTTTTTTTTTTTTTTTTTTTTTTTTTCATATTCTGTCTGTGGTCACAACTGATAAAAGGCAAGCATTAAGTTACCTGATTATAACTATATAGGGTTGAATTAACCTTTTATTTCTTTAGTGCAATCTCTTACGGTAGGGTATTGTAGAGATTGTGTGTCCAATAAGACTTCAAAAGGTTACACTTTGGAATTTTGTTACCTCATCACAGAGAAGTTGGCTTCTACATGTAAGGTACATGAATTACATGGTATTTCTCCCTAGTACTTCATAGAGATTGATGATTATATTTGGAGTATAATATGGGCATGCTCACACGTCTACATGCATATTACTTTGTTTCCTTGGTTACTATACCTTCCTATAGTGCTACATGACCTTAGATGTCTAGCACATTTAATTTTGCTTTTAACCATTAACCATAAACCATTGTTTACTTTGTGTAAGTTTATCAAAGGACTTGATTAGTGGCTCATGCTAGAACCATCCTGGGGAACCACCCATATGGATATGAACAACACACACACAATGGATAGATGTAAATGAACACAAGCTGACATACACACAAATATACATATACATAGTGTACAGACACACCTGGATAAGCATAGCTACCTATGCACATGCGCAAACACCTGGAAAACCACACATAAGAACGGAGGCATTAAGGAAGATTGGGACTGGGAGGGAGTAACAGAGCGAAGGCAACTCTTTTTTTAATTTTGATTATTAATTTTGCATTATTCCAATAATGCCTGACATCAAATCATTGCAAATAGTTAACAGTTGAAGCATTTGTATGTGCTGTGGTGAAAAGGGTAAAAATGAATCAATGATTAGTACAAAATGTCATAGAGCACTATAGGACAGTAAGGTAAATGTAGTGATGCAGGGATTAGTAATTGGGGAGGGGTGTTAAGGCTGAAAGGCAATTAGATCAAATTGAGAGTATCTGTGCATCTGGGGAAGGAAAAGGAATATTTCACTTGCCACAGAACAAAAGCCATTATGAAGCAATGAATGGGTAATTCAGGTTGAAATGGGTGTTGAAGGAGAACCTATGGAATGAGACGGTACAGATCAATTTGAATGGTTATGACTAGGTTGGGCACACAGATGGCAGCAGGCTGTAGAGTACCTATGGCTGGAAGTGTGGCCAAAGTGCCAACATTTCTGACATTGATTGGAAGGGTCGATATGGTCAAATGGTGTACAACTCTCTAACAACATAAACTTCATGGGGTAAGTCATGTCTATGGAAGGTAATCTTTGTAATGTTGATGGAGGAAGAGTGTTGCTCTGCATTGCTACGGCACTGCATCAGGCAAGCAGGTTATTTTCACAGTCTGTAACCAATTCTTGCAAGAACTCGAAAGGTTTGTAAAGGTGGCTCTCCCAATCCCATGCCTGTTGTTGTTGGGAGGCTTAGGAGACGAGGACTGAGGCACAAGGTCACCCGTTCCTTGGACCTCAGCCCTCACTTCAATTTTGAATGGTCTTTTCTTCTCCACCTTGCTTTTTTTCCTTTTCTTCTTCATCCCCTTCTGTCCCCATCCTAAATTGTGAGAGCCGTGCTGAAAGGATGAAAGACTAGTTTTGTGTCAGTCCTGAACACAGCCTTTGTATTATTTTGCTATTCCCTACCATTTTCCTACAGTTCTCTCTATAGCCTTTATATAATATTTTGTACTAATTGTTAATTCATTTTTTTACCTTTTTGCCACAATACTTTGTTATAATGCAGTATGACCTTTCCTTACCTAACCCTGTTGCTATATTTTGTATATGCTGCTAATGACCTTAGATATTGACGTGGCCAAAAATTTTCAATTAATAATCAATTTGTAAAAGGTGGAAGTAGTAGGACAAAGATGGGAAGAATAGGGAGTGGTGTGGAGTGATGTAGTTTTGCAGGAGGACAATAATAAGGATGAATAGTAGTAATACAGGGGGATGGGGTGAAAATGAAGACTACAATAGTATTAGTAGGCATGGTAGTAGTAGTAGGAGTAGAGGATGTTGCAAGAGAGGTAGGTATGTATTCTGAAGCTTGAGTGGATGATTGGAAATAGTTCGGGTTGACAGCAAGCATTGAGCAGGCGGACCACGATCAAAGGAGAGCCAGGGGCCCAAAAAATAGAAAAGTCAAATTCAGATAGGTTGCTTAATAAAGGGGAAAGCCTTAATGCCCCAATAAGGATATAAAATCTTAAATTTGTCCATTGTGAGCCTAAAATATGAAGAAAAGAGAAACAATCTATCAGTCAGTCCTCACGAAAGGCATGGACTAGGTAATTAACTAAGGGAACACTGTGCCCATGGTCTCTGAGGTTGTTCAGGAATGGCACAGAGCCTACCCTTCATCTGTTCAGCACTGCTCTTACACCTTAGTAAGTGGACAGAAGACAAGAAGAGAAGGAAGGAAAGGGGGAGACTAAAAGACCATGCATAATTGGTTGAGCCAAAGGTTTAGGCCCAAGATAGGGGCAGTCCCCAACATTGTACCTCAGTCCCCGTCTCCTGTGCCCCCAACAATAAGAACAGGTATGAGATGGTGGGGGGATTACTGTGAAAAATCCTTAAAAGTATTTTTAATGGATTTTTCTCTGGCTATTTGTCCTAGAGGAACCAAGATTCTATTGAAAGACATGTAAAATGTTCATTTTATTATTTTTCAACTGTATGGTATAAATCAAATCTTAAAAAAAAAAATTCTATTATTGCACAGATACACAAGAGCAATAATAATAATTATTATATCTCATTAATATTATGAAGTTATTATATATCTTGAACTTAAAATCTACAATGACTATATTCAAATAATTTTAAACAGGTGTCCCTAATGTATGTAAAGCTGGAAATTATACAAAGATTATATGGACCACAGACGCATAATGTGTACAAAATTAGCTTCATGCTTTTTAAATCCAAATATTTTTTCCAAGTAAAAAATAAATAAGAGTTCAATCTCAACTCCTACCTGGGGAAGGGGGGGGGGGGGATTATACAAAGTTCTCTAGAAGACCTGCGACTAGTCTGAAACACGCAGTATGGAGAATAAATAAAGACAATAAACACATGTCAAATTAAACCGAAAAGAAGGGCAACAGTTTCAACCTATCCAACTAGGGGGGGGAAAAATAAACCAAAAAAATAAACAAAAAAAAAAAAATAAAATATAATAAAAAAATACAAATTGACTGATGGTGTTGGCAAGACCTCCAAACCAATTAACAGTGTGAATTGAAATCTGGGATCACTTACATATTCTTTTTCTACCAAAATAGTCTCTCTTTTTTCTTCAGACTTTTTCTTATAAACTCAACTATCCCCCTTGCTAAAAGATGAACAAGCTCTGACCTACAACTCTCAATGAGGAATGGTAATGCATCTATACAATGACAAGAAATGGCTAACAAGGTCAATATACCCATGAATTAAGACAAAACCAAGGAGGGTTTTGTAATACAGTGCTGGCAAACATGAATTGCTTGAGTCATCTTGTGAAATCTCTTATACATTATCTAAAAGAAGGGGAAGGAGAGGGAAAAAATATAGATATGTACATAAAGGAAAGAGAGAGAGAAAAAAAAGAAAAAGACTCGTAACATCTCCCTAAATCTACTTGTGGAGCTAAAGGAGGATTCCAGTCGATTTTCAATGTAAATATAGCCCCACTGGGTCATTGGTAATATAACAACCACTTGGATATTTCCTATACAATTGTAACTCTTAACATTATTCAAAGTCAACAGCCAGATTATGTATGCTGGAGCAGTCTGTTGAATGCATTATACGCTGACTCCAGGTCAAAGATCATCTGCCGCACTTGTGTTTCAGAGAGGGTTTCATCTGCCGTCATCCCCTCCAAGGTGCCGATCCACTCCTTCACTTTTGCCTTGCCTTCGAAGTCCTGAGGGAGAGATAGCAACGTGGATTAGGTTTAGTTATTCATGTAAAAACTGAAACAGCACATTAAGGCTGACACATAAGCTCTCATGAACAATAAATATTAGGTTCTGTTACTTGGAGAAAGGAGGAAAGTATACTTTTTGAAGCTCACAGATAACTGGTATGTTTTCTGTCCTGATGGATATTTTACATTTTTTCTGTAGCTAAAGATATCTAAATCAGCATGATCAATAACTACAATTAATACTGTACTAATATACCTGACTACCACTACCACCACTACCACTACCACCACTACTACTACTATACTACTATTCCTACTACTAAATTACTTTTACTACTACTAATACAAATCACTACTATATACTACTACTTACTACTATAATACTACACCTACAATTACTACTTTCACTACTATAACACCTACTACTACTATACCTACTAACACTAACACTACAACTACTACTATAACCAATACCATGATACACAATCCTCTTACCTGAGGAAGAACAGAGAGCCGAGTCATGTTCTCCATCAGATCCTTGAGGTCTGGTTGCAGCTCATCATTCGCATTGATCCCAAGTCGAAGCTTGTCCATAACAGTGATGAAGAGCTGTTGAACGGAAAATCCAGATACTTTAAAAAATAGGCAATACGTCAGCCATTGGAGGCGATGGAAAACAAGATACTTTAGAAACTGGGCAATACGTAAGCCATTGGAGGCGATGGAAAACATGTTGAAAACGGATAGATCACAGACAGAGCGTATTTACATTGTTCCTGTGGTCAATATTTTTCTTTCACAGCACCTAATTCAGATCACACATTCCTTCTCTAACAAACACCCACTCACATGAATGAAAAGAGACACACCCACACAAGCACAAGTATTCATTCACTTGCTACTGCTCATTTATCTCTTAAATTTGAGACTTGTGTGACAGAATGACGTTTCTTGATCTCGTAACTCCCTTCTCTCAAACTTTAACTTATAAGCTGTGTACAAGAGTCTGTCAGCTTACCGAAACAATGTCAGCAATGCATTTGCTTGTGTTGCCCTTGTCATCCTTGATCGTGATTGGTCTGTCCTCGCGGATTCGGTCCAGGGCTGCTGGACAATCGAGCTAAAAAATTAAAGAAAAAGATTATTTGTTAAGAAGAGGGAGGAGGAGGAGAGACAGATGAAGGGAGGAGAAAAGGAGAAAGAAAGGAGGAGGAAGAGGTGGAGGCTGAAGTAAAGGAGGAGGAGGAGGAGTGGAAAGTGGAGGTAAAGGAGAAGGAGAAGAAGAAGGAGGAGGAGGAGAAAAGAGAAGAAGGAAGAATAAGAAGAAGAGAAGGAGGAGGAAAAGGAGAAGAAGGAGACAAGGAAGAAAAAGGAGGAGGAAAAGGAGAAGAAGAGAAGAAGTTGTGGACAAGGAAGTAAAGGAGGAGGAGGAGTAGGAAAAGGAAAAGAAGAAGAGGGAGAAAGAGGAGGAGAAGAGGGGAGAGAGAGAAAGTGGATGATAAAATGGAAAAGGAGGACACAAAGACGAAGACACAGAGGGTCAAGATGAATTAGAAATAGAGAAAAAGGCCTTAAATCAACTTCAATCTAAAAGCTTTTCATCTTCAACCATCTATAACCCCAATACTTCACATCCAAAACCCTAAACATCCATAAACCTCTTACCTTATACTTCTTAACAAAGGCTTCAACTGTAGGGTAGTCATCGCACTGCACCAGCTTGAAGGCAGCTTTGTACTGCACAAGAAGCTTACTACACCAAGCTGTGTATTCTTTGGGTGGCACCACGTCCTATAAGGAATATTGGTCTCTTAAATCGTTAAAGTAAAATCATAATTTCTGAGCCTTAGAGAACCATTATGTACAAACTAAATGTCACACAAAATAAGCCGTTATACAAACCTTTATGTACATCTTCTCTAAACACTGGAGAGTATTGATGACAGCGTATAATTCTGCATGGTTGTCGTGCCTGGAAACAAATGAGATTTAAAACAAAGAAACACTTATTACTACAAATCAATACTAAACAATGATCATATTAAAAAAGTAAATAATATATTGTGGAGGCTTACTGGCCTTTGCTGGAGTGCCAAAATATCTTGATGTCTGTGATGGATGTATTGGCGTTTTCATTCTCACCAAATTTGACATAACCCAAATGGAAGGTCTGCATGTTACCATCACTAGCAGATTGCTGTCATGATATAAGTGTTTTTTTTTTTTTTTCTCGTCCTTAATGCGATTATAAAGTGGAGTGGGCAAGGAAACTGCTCAACACTACTTCAGTAACACATTCGACTTCAAGTTTTTGGCTATTCATCACAGAAAATGAGCAAACGCAGCCAATTCAATCATAGAAAAAATTGTTTTCAAAGCCACAACAGGTCCCCTAAACATTTACCCGTCATGTGATCATAAACGTAACTGATTCACTCCTAGTAACACTTGAGGAACAAGGTAAAAAAATAATTTCATCTTTTCAAAGTTATCATAAATACAGACTTTAAGTTTAATATTTCATAATGCAGTACTCCTTATCAATGTTTAGTGAAATTATCATGAATTCCCATCTCTTTATGTGGATTGTGGTCCTTAATTAACATAACACAAGTTTCTAATAGATTTAGGTCTTGATAGAATGATGTCAAAAATTAAAAGCGAAAGTCAATGCAGCTGTAATTTTCCCAGTAACCTTAAAACATTAGATACACATACTTCTCTCTCTCTCTCGCATTGGTGTACAGTTTCACTTCCTCGTACAATTCCGGTCGGTTGTGGTCTGTAAAATGATCATAAATTAAAAGCACTGTCTTGTATATACGTAATAAATATGTTTTAATTTCAATATCTACGCATCATCAGCATAAAATTGTGTTTCTTATAAATAACATATATTCTAAAATATTGTCTCACAAATTCATGTCACGAAATTCACATGATGTCTTGAAATAACAAATAAAAATACCCCAAAAGCAAATCTAATATCTAAATATGACACAAATAATAAATCATGAGGAAATTCGTAAAAAAATATAACAATTTCCTACAAAGTTGCACCATGTTTACCGAACATTCCAATCTACTGAGATATAATTCACATATCCTCTAATCAAACACGAGAAAACTCTATGCGGAAAACAAACCCGAAAAAGGTCAAATTTACTCAAAAATAAAGAAATCAAACGAAATAAAACACCTATCCACCCCAACGGAAGCAACAAAAATTAGACCCAACCCTAAAACCACCATCATTAACCCACTTTCCCCTTTATAAAATCCTTCAATTGACACTCGCATATCTCGGGCAAATACTCACCTTGTGTACTGTTGGAGGATATGCCAGAAAACATCTTTAGAGCTCAACAAAATGCAAAAACTGCAACAGAATGGACCAATGTTTACACTTTGCTCAGTGATTCATGACAAGAGACACCCGCGCGCCATCTGTCGGGAGAAAGAGGAACTGCCTCATTATTATTATTATTATTATTATCATATTATCATTTCTATTGTTATTGTTATTATCATTATAATTTATTATAATTTTTATCATCATTATCATTATCATTTGTTAATTTCATTACCATCATTGTTATTATGATGAATGTTATTATCATTTATTATCATTTATCATCATTATTATCTTAATTATTATCATCTCCATTATCTTTATTATGATTGCTATTACCATCATTATCATCATAATAATTATGATAATTACAACAATAATTACGATAATAATAACTGTTATTATTATCATCATTAATATTAGAAGTAGTAGAAGTAGAAATAATAACAGTAGTGGGAGTTGTTAACAAAAGTATCGTTATCGTTATTATCATCATATCTTATTATCAGCGAAAGAGGGAGTAAAGGACGGGGAAGGCTAGATCAGTAGCAACTGGAGGAGGTGTCATGGCGTCTGTTTTGATGATTGTTCAATGAAAATATAACCATTAAAATCATTATTTCCCAAACCTTTTTTGGAAATTGAAAAGACCAAAATGATCGACCATCTTCACAAAGCATCCGTAACTTTTGTGACGTCATCAAAATAAACCTCATGTGCTTTTTCCCAAAAAATAGAATCAGACGCCATGCATGACACCTCCTCGTGTTGCTACTGACCTAGCCCCCCCCCCCCCCCCCCACAAGCTTCGAGCCTTGGTGGGCGGGATGGGCGGGATGGGCGTGCGTGTGAAGGCGTACCTGCCACTGAGGTGTAAGTATAAGAAGAAAAAAAAAAAAGAAAAACACTTTTTTTCTTCTTCCTGAATATAATGCGATTGGGTTTGGTCCCAATATCATAAGCCGATGAATGTTTTTATTTAGCTTGTTAATGCCATTTTTTCGGAAATAAACACATACTCAAAGAGAGAAAATCGGAAAAACATTCTATACGCACACACACGCACACATACACACACACACACAACACACCACACACACACACACACACACACACACACACACACACACATATATATATATAATATATATATATATATATATATATATATTTAATTAGATAGCGAACGAGAGAAGAGAGAAGAGGACAGAGAGAGAGACAGAGAAAGAGTAGAGAGAGAGATTATACACACACACACACACCACACACACATATGTGTGTGTGTGTGTGTGTGTGTGTGTGTGTGTGTGTGTGTGTGTGTGTGGTGTGTGTGTGTGTGTGTGTGGATGTGTGTGTGTGTATATATATGTATGTATATATGTATATTATGGGTATATATATATATATATATATATATATATATATATATATATATATATATATATATATATATATATATATATATATATATATATATATATGCATGCACACACATATCAGTAATAAACTATATCTATTAATGAGGGAGGAAGGACATCTTGAAAAAAAAAAAAATCTATGAATCCACACGCTTACAACGTAATTAAAGAGATCTGATCCGACCTGAATACACGCTGAATAGCTTTCTAATCACGGAATCTATTTTCTTGTGTTGTTTCTCGTTCGAGTTAAAACTGGAACCAGCTTTAGAAATAAGTGAGGTGAGATAATGACATATTCTCTGCATTCATCTGAGACAAAACCCTTTTAAAAGGTTTAATTATAGATGAAATATGCTCTTCTTCGTTTTAGAGACGGTATGAGGCAAATTCAGATTTTATGAAGTTGAATGAGAATGTCTAACTGCAGTGTCTCTTTAGGTCATTATCAAAAAAAAAAAAAAAAAAAAAAAAAAAAAAAAAAAAAAAGGGAAAAGAAAAATAACTTTTTAAGATCATTTGTTTCTCGTAAATGATGTTGAATTTCAAATATCTAATGAATGCTCTGGTGTTATGACAGTGTAAGTATATCATAAAAATACGATGAAATATTTCGACCACATTTTTTATTTGTTTTTGTTGTTTGAAAGGAAAGGAAGGGAGAGAGGGAGAGAGGGAGGAGGGGGAGAGATAATAGATGATGGATAGATAGATAGAGTAGGATAAAGAAAGAAGAGAAAGAGAGAAAAAGGGGGGGGGGGGGAGGAAAAGAGAAAAGAGAAGAGAGAGAGAGAGAGAGAGAGAGAGAGAAGAGAAAGAAAAGAGAAAGAAAAGAAGAAAGAAAGAAAAGAGAAGAGAAAGAAGAAAGAGAAGAGAAAGAAGAAAGAGAAGAGGAGAGAGAGAGAGAGAGAGAGAATAAAAAAGACAGAAATAGAGAAACACAAATCAAAGACTCAGATGTATAGAGATAAATTACGATACAAAAACGGCATTCAAACAGGTGCAAAAAAAAAAAAGATATAAATCGACATCCTTATTCGCACAACCACAGCTTCATGAAACCGAGCGGTATCAAAGCTTCGAAGCAGTGCAATCGAAGCTCAATGAAGCGGCTCGACTCCCTCTGGCGGTGGGCAAGGAGGAGGAGAAGGAGCAGCGAAAGAGGAGAGAGAGGGGAAGAGGAAGGAGAGGGAGAGGGAGAGAGAGAGGATGAGTGAAAGAGAGGGAAGGAAGAGAGAGGGCACAATAATAGGGAAGAGGAGAAGAGAAAGAGGACAAGGAGAGAAAAGGGAGAGGGAGATGAAAAGAGAGAGAGAGAGAGAGAGAGAGAGAGAGAGAGAGAGAGAGAGAGAGAGGAGAGAGAGAGAGAGAGAGAGAAGAGAGAGAGAGAGAGAAAGAGAGAGAGAGAGAAAAGAAAGAGGGAAAGAGAGGATGGGGGTAGAGTATGTGAAAAGGGCAGAGAGCAGGAATGGAGAGGGACAACAAGGTAGTGAGACGAGCGGAAGGGAAGAGCCGGAAAGAGGAATGAGACTGAGATCGATGAGAGAGAAAGAGAAGGATAAGAGGGAGAAGAAAGGAGCCAGTTTAAAAAGCAGAAGGTAAGAAACTTGTATTTTTGACCTGATTATTTATTATTTATTATTTTTATTAATTTATCTCTCTCTTCTCGTCTCTCTTATCTATCTTCCATATCTATCTATTTATCTATCTAATCTATTCCTACTATCTATCTACCTATTATCCATCTATTATTTGATTGCCAACAAGAGTAGGGAATTTATTATGGCACTGGAAGACGAAATAGTCCTTTTATGAGTACATACCGTTATTTTTAGGTCAATTTTTCAGAACCTTTGAACACCATTTTCTAATATACAACTTATTTTGAATATTGTATATACTTATATTTTTTATCATCATCAGCATCATCATTATTATATTATTATTGTACCATGCGCATTATGCAATATTCATATGTCTTTATTTTTTTTTATGAAATTCACAAATGTTGCATTTAGCTGACAATAAGCAAAACATGACCGCATATAGTCACTGCATTGCAAATAATCATCATAATTGTCAAGCAACACATAAACTACCTTGATAATTGTTAAATGCTCTTCATCTAGCAAATTATCAGTCCTATCAAATATAACCAATCACAAGCCAGTCAGATAATTATAGCACTAGCTATGTCAAACCTGCCACACGTGTCACGTCATTCTGTCACATGTCACTGTCAACCTTGTCATGCTGTCA